ACTAGTAGCCTCGCACAGAGGACCTATCCATGTCATCATTTACCCAGAATGCTTTGTGTGTTAATAAAATGGCGCCGTCTGTGTTAAAATATATTTTTTAAAAATTATTAAACTAAACAGCCTACAGTATTTTTACAGTCTTTATTTTACAGTTAAAATACATGTTTATCAAATAAAGTCTAATGTTACAACTAATCAGGGATCCTTTTAAATTAAATTGTCTCAAAAATAAATCCTTCTTCAAGATTGTTTGTATTCAGCTTTATCCTTAATGTGTGCACAAATGTATGATTAGTCTTTATTTTACAGTTAAAATATATGTTTATTAAATAAAGTCAATGTTACAACTAATCAGGGATCCTTTTAAATTAAATTGTCTCAAAAATAAATCCTTCTTCAAGATTGTTTGTATTCAGCTTTATCCTTAATGTGTGCACAAATGTATGATTACTTATTTATGCTGACTTTTAAACTACGTTTTAACTTATTTACAGTAAATCTTTTTTGTGTATTTCTATCCAACTGCAAAATTTTTCATCTACTTTTTCATGTATGTCTAGATGGGCTTTATTACAAGCTCCTATGTTTTCTWATCCCACCTGCACGCTTCTTTACTTTGTTTGTAATAATTTCACAGGATTTATTACGAAACCACAGCTCAGCACACGGCTACATTGGTTTCCTGTACTTGACTTTTTATAAAAGCCTTTTAACTGACCCAGTTGCTGAACAGTCAGGTTGCCGATATCCAGCGTCCTCTGAGCAATCTTCTGCCACGATCGATCCGGATCGCGGATCCACTGCGAGGCCTCGCAGAAATACGCGCCGGCGTCGTCGGGCTGCACCGCCGCCATCCTCATCACGTACACCCCCAGCCCGCCCTCTCCGTTCCTCTTCTCCAGCGAGATCTCTCCGTCGTCGTAGCGMGTTTTGTAGAACCGCCCGGGGACCACCCCCAGAAACTTGTCGATGGTGATGATCTCCCTGACGGTGCTGACTTCCCCCCCGGCGCCAACGCCCGCAGCCTCACCGCCTCGCTTCCCAAACGTGATTGACAGGTGGGTGAGCTGCTCRGACTGGATGCCCGCTGAGCAGGTCAGGGTTAATTCAGCCCCCTCCGGCGTGGGCTTGCCCGTTTGTAAATGGTTTTTGCTGATCTGGAGGGTATCTGGAATCACTGGGAGACAAAGATATAGAATTGTGTTATGCCAGACAGATTTGATTTACATCGTCTSTGTTGCGATTTTTAGCTGTCAGTGTTTATAAATCGCTGTCACTGCTGACAGTAACCTCAGGCCTTTGCATCAGGATTTGTGCACTGATTTGTCCTAAAGGATAGAAGATTAAAGGGTTGTTGTTGATGCTCAGCCATAAAACTAACACCCAGAAGATGTGAATCAGTGGTAGAGCTGTCCCTTTCAAAATAAAAGATCTGTGGTACTGATTTTCTGCAAATGTCGAAAACAAACCTCTTATTTATGGAGAATGAAAAATGCTGCAYAAAGTCAAAGCTGAAAAAAAGTATTTGTCTCCTACAATAAACAACATCATTTATCAAGAGGGGGAAAAAACTCTCCAAACTAACTTGGCMCTATTGGAATAAAAAGTATTTGTAAAAAGTATTTGTATTAGTAAATGAGTTAAATWTGATTTGGGTTCAGTTTTTCCAGCCACACCCAAGAATAGCTTGGAGAATTAGGAAATGACTTAAGAGACATTTTCAACAAATGCAGAAATTATGAAACAAGAGTGGTCAGATGCCCACAATTACTCTAAAAGTGCATCAATGATACATCTAAAGAACGCAGAACAAAAATCCCTGCGAGCCAAAATGACTTCTAGTTCCTCTACAGAAATGTGAAAAACTCACTGCCAGTTTTATTGTAATTGAATACAATAATAACAATCGATCACAGTTGTTGCYGCCAAGGGTGACACAATCAGTTAGACCACGTTGGATAGCTCCCCCCCGGCTTTAATAAATGAAATCATCATTTAAAAACTGTGTTTTGTATTTATTAAGGTTATCTTTGTCTGACGGAAGTCTGCTGATCTGAAACAGACAGCAAACAAACATCTAAAGAAAAACTCGGTGAGTTTGTGTATCTGGAACCTTTGTAGAACCAAGATAAAGCTGTCAAAGTGGACAGATAAGTGTAAAAACGTGTAACTTTTACCCTAMAAGGATAAACCTCCCAGCACACAGAGACTAAAAGCAACATGTCTGCTACAGGAAGGAGGAATGTTGCTTTGGACCAAGTCAAACATGTATTCCTATTACTCCCTGAAACATTCATCRTGTTGACGTCATGCAGAGTCGCTGATAAGATCATCTTGTCATTGTAATCCTGAGTCAGAATGTGGGCCTGTGGTAATTTTCCAACACTATGTACATCATGAACTCAGATTTACATAGTACCATTTGTCTCTTTCTAAACGTACATTATGCTGCAATTTACTTAACATATTACCTTTAAAAATAACCACAGGTTCTGGCTTAAATCAGGGTTTAACTATAAAAAATAAGAATTCAATCAGTGCCAGTTTTAATTTACACTGAATAAGATTCAAATCCCAACCCTGGAAGTTAAATATTGGGATATTAAGAACTCAAAATATTATTCTTGCTGACAGGCATTAACATTTGATTCATCACTTAAACTTAGCTTCTCTCTCCTGTCATTTACTTAATTGCTGAAAACTAATCCATTTAAGCCTGTTACTGTGTTAAAAATCCTTTATGCAAACATTTTTGCCTCATTTCTGTGTGAAGGTCAATAAAAAAAAGAAAATGGAGCTTCGCCAGTTCTCAGGCTGCAGTCCACCTTTATCTCTAAACAGTAATAAAGTGTTGCTGTTGTGTTTGTAGCTGCAGGGAAGCTGAGTTTTGTAACAAAAACGCTTCATCGGAACGAAAAACATCGCAGAAAATGATGATTTTTACAGATGACGAGCTAAGATTTGGTGTGGTAGTGGCTGAGAATCAACCCCATCGTGTGCTAACAGGGTGCAAGAAATTCTACTTTAAAATAAAACTTTAGCATGTAAGCAAAATGCTATAATTTAAAAAAAAGCTGGTTTCATTTTATTAAAGCATGAACTGTACGCAAGTTTCGCAACTTCTATATATTGTTAAATTGTTTTTGTGTATAATTATTTTATCACCCGTTACGTGTTTTTGAAAAAAATAACAAAATCATATTATCAAGAAGATAAGCCAACAGTATCGTATGCACACATAAAAACACTGGTTCACAGATATTTTGAATTTCTACAGTGGGGTGCGAAAGTTTGGGCAGCCTTGTTAATTTTCCTGATTTACCTTTATAAACCATTGATTGTTTGGATAAAGAAAATCAGTAAAATGTATCATATAGGGGACAAACATGAAACTTGATATTTGAGAAGTGAAATGAAGTTTAAATGATTTATAGAAAGTGTATAATAGTTTGACAAACAAAATTAGGCAGGTGCATAAATTTGGGCACTGTTGTCATTTTGTAGATTTCAAAACCTTTAGAACTAATTATTGGAACTTTAATTTGGTTTGGTAAGTTCAGTGACCCTTGACCTCCATACACAGGGACTCCAATTATGAGAAAGGGTATTTAAGGGGGGCAATATTAAGTTTTTCTCCTCTTTGCATCTTCTCTGAAGAGTGGCAGCATGGGAGTCTCAAAACAACTTTCAAATGAGCTGAAAACAAAGATTGTTCACCGTCATGGTTTAGGGGAAGGATATAGAAAGCTATCTCAGAGATTTCAGCTTTCAGTCTCCACTGTGAGAAACATGAGAAAATGGAAGACCACAGGCACAGTTCAAGTCAAGGATCAAAGTGGCAGACAAAGACAAATCTCCAATAAACAGAAGTGAAGGATGTTGAGAACAGTCAGAGTCAACCCACAGACCAGCACCAAAGACCTACAACATCATCTTGCTGCTGATGGAGTCACTGTGCATCGTTCAACTATTCAGCACACTTTACACAAGGAGATGCTGTATGTGAGAGTGATGCAGAGGAAGCCTTTTCTCAGCCCACATCACAAACAGAGCTGCTTGAGGTATGCTAAAGCACATTTGGACAAGCCAGCTTCATTTTGGAATAAGGTGCTGTGGACTGATGAAACTAAAATAGTTATTTGGGAAGAACAAGAGCCATTATGCATAGGGCTGTGTATTGGCAAGAATTTGGCGATACGATACATATCATGACAGAGGGGTCACGATACGATATATCCCGATATATTGTGATACTGTAAGCAAGGCGATATATTGCGATATTTTTGGTCCAAAAATTCTATTAAATAAAAACCTCTTACTGAAAAAAAAAACAAAACAAAACAAAAAAAAAACCAATAACCAGAATTCACTTTCTCAGAAAATTCTAATATTACATAGACATACTTTTGATACATTTAGCTGTGTTCTGCTTTGTATGTGTTTTATTTTATTTGTTTCATATTTCATCCATGTTTTCAATTATTAGACTAAATTTGCCAATAAGTAGTTGGAAAATATATTTTTCCAGCTTTTCGTTTTTAACATTAATTTACAATATCGTCACCCAACACTTAACAATAGCCTTTATGTTGTCGTAAAGTGTCGGTCTTTTCTGCTCAGATTCAGCTATCGGAGCACGAAGCTAATATTTACTCACAATGCTAATGCTCTCTTACTCTCTGGCGCTCAAGCTGTGGAGTAGCCAAATGGCTGGCTCACTGCTGCCAACTAGTGGTCAGAGACTGAACTACAACATAAAAATGAACAGCTGGCAGGAAAGTTGACATTTTAAACCTTAATAAAAAATCGATACAGGGCTTTAGAATATCGATACAGTATCGGGAAATGAAATATCGCGATATTTCAGTGTATCAATATTTTCTTACACCCCTAATTATGCATGGAGGAAAAAGAACACAGCACTCCAATAAAAACACCTGCTACCTACAGTAGAATATGGGGGTGGTTCCATCATGCTGTGGGGCTGTGTGGCCAGTACAGGGACTAGGAATCTTGTTAAAGTTGATGGACGCATGGATTCCAATCAATATCAGCAGATTCTGGAGACCAATGTCCAGGAGTCGGTGACAAAGCTGAAGCTGCTGAAGCCGGGGCTGCATCTTCCAACAAGACAACCACCCTAAACACTGCWCAAAATCTACTARGACATTCATGCAGAGGAACAAGTACAAYGTTCTGGAATGGCCATCTCAGTCCCAAGATCTGAATATTATTGAAAATCTGTGGTGTCACTTAAAGAGAGCTGTYCATGCTYGGAAACTATCAAACCTGAATGAACTATATGTTTTGTAAAGAAGAATGGTCTAAAATACCTTCAGCCACAATCCAGACTCTCATTAGAAGCTGCAGGAAGCATTTAGAGAATATTTCTGTGAAAGGAGGATATACTAAATATTGAGTTAAGGTTTTATTTATGGTGCCCAAATTTATGCACCTGCCTAATTTTGTTTAACCAATTATTGCACACTTTCTGTAAATCATATAAACTTAATTTAACTTCTCAAATATCACTGTATTTGTCCCCTATATGATATATTTTACTGATTTTTTTTATCCAAACAATCATTGATGTATTAAGGTAAATCAGGAAAATTAACACGGGTGCACAAACTTTCGCACCTCACTGTATATCTAAAACTACCAGTATGAATATCTGCCAGTGAATACAATAAGTTCCTATAAAGTGTCCAAATACTAAAAGGCCCTACAGTAATATTTATATTTTAAAAAAACTAAACTACATATTTGTGATTTATTTTTGTTAAATTATTATGGAGTAAAACATAAGTRTTTTTTTTACATAGCTGTAATTAAAACTGAAAATGTGCACTGAAAGCAGTGTGTTGTACCTTTGACAATGACTTTGGCGCTGTAATTCCCCTGATATTTGCTGTCTGTACTGGGCGTGTAACACTCATACGTCCCCTGGTCGTCGGTCCGAAGCCTCTGGACCACCAGTCGCACCTTGTCCCCCGAGTCTCTCTCCACCCTCACGTCCCCATTACTCACTCGGGTCTGGAACGGGGCGTACGGGAAGCCTTTGTCCCTGGTGGACACGACTCCTATCTGCCTTCCACCGGCGTCGTCCTTGTACAGGAACCATTCAAAGTCCTGCGTCCGCGAGCCCTCGTATCCCGACACGCTGCACGGCAGGGAGAGGGGGAAATTGGTAACGCGGAAAAGGGGTCCGGGGGGAAGAGTCACGTCACGGCACACGGCGCACTGCAGCACTGTAACACACAAAAGACAAGACCAACAACAAGATTAGAACAGCTCAAAGTGTTGGTTCTGTTGGATCACAGTCATGCCTCACAGCTTGTTTGGATCATGGACTCATTAATCAAGATCCTGACCTAATAATTGTCAGTCCATATTGGTCTCCAACAGAAACATAGCAAGAAAATAGTTTGATTGGGCGTGCATGATGTCCTCATGAAAAGCTTGTGTTTATTATTGCAAAAATTCTGCATGCTTTAAATTTCAAGGCCATATTACATAATGAGCATACTGTATGTATAGTTATAATTTCCTAACACATTAAAAACATTACGAATAGATTAGGTTTAGTAGCTTTATGCCTCTGACATTAAATTTAAGTGATATATTTGAGTGCACRTTTGGAAAGATAACATTAACAATGAACTGCAAACAAAAATTCACGACACTGAAATGAACAGTTGTTGAGATATTTGCATGAGCAGAAACAGGAAGTGATGTCAAAGGGTAATGCCTGAATGAGTTGTTACAATGGCTAACAACAGACTGCAAAGAATCAGATGTTTCTGWAGATTATTTTGAGTCATTATCAGATAGATAAAGAAGAGCCAGATTTATAAAGACTAGGAAGTTACCCTTTTTTAAGAGTTTCCCTTTGACATCACTTCCTGTTTCACTTGGACTGCAACAAATTTAGCAACAAATATGCACATTTTGAGACAAACTGGGTAGAAATCATATGAACGATGCCAAATTCCTAAAATATTAGGATATTTTCTTTAATTTTTTTGTAATTGAAGAAAAAGCATGTCACAGGCACTTTAAAGAAGGCTCAGTCATATATGTGAAACTACCATTGTGTACGGGGAAGTAGAAGTAGAACCAGACATGTCAACTCAGCAGAGATGATTCTAGCTACAACAAGATGCCTTTTTTTAGATGAAAATGTTACAGGAAACCAAGTCACACATCATCATTTGTTTGTCATTTGCATCATTATAACTCTCCACCGTCGAACTGAACATGTCCCCACATGGTCTGAATAAAGGGAAAGGAACAGAAATGCATCAAAAGAAGCTCTCCAAAACTGTGGATGAACCAACTAGACTTTTGTCAATTCAGCGGGAAAATCCAAAAAACACCATAGAACCAAAACATTGCCATTGCATATGTTGTTGGGAGTATTTCAGAAACTCAGAAGGATCTTGTCCAAACACAACATCCTGGTTCACTGCAAACCAAACAGGACTCTCAAGACAGAGGGTGGTCTCTATATTGGAGAAACATCAGYCCAAAGGCACATGGTTCAACACAGGAGAGCCTCAGCTTCGGTCCTACACCTCAAAGACAAGGGCCAATCATTTGAGGACCAACATTTTCACATTTTGAACACAGAAGACAGATGGTTTGAAAGAAATTAAGACTGCTGAATGACTCACTCCATATCTCATCCTAAAGAAGCAGCAAAAACATCCTCTAGTTGCCAGGAACCTTCAACAACTAACCTTCAACTCCCTAAAACTGAAACCTACCGGAGCAACAAGAAAAACGAGGCAAGACTGTTTTGACACTCCCAGCCCGTAGAGTAAGCGTGTGTGTGTGTGTGTGTGTGTGTGTGTGTGTGTGTGTGTGTGTGTG